ATGGAACTCCCATTTGACCCAGTGATCCCACTTCTAGGAATATATCCCAAAAAACTAGGAACACCAATTAGAAAGGATATATGCACCCCTATGTTCATAGCAGCACAATTCACCATAGCTAAGATTTGGAAACAGCCTAAGTGCCCATCATTAGATGAGTGGATTAAAAAACAGTGGTTCATCTGCACAATGGAATACTATGTGTCGGTAAAAAAGAAGGAGTTCTTACCATTTGCAACAACATGGATGGAACTGGAGAGCATTATGCTAAGTGAAATAAGCCAGTCAGAGAAAGATAAATATCACAGGATCTCACTCATTCATGGGATATAATGAACAACATAAACTGATTAACAAAAACAGATCCAGAGACAGAGAAGCATCAATCAGACCATCAAACCTCAGAGGGAAGGTAGGGGAGGGTGAGGGTAAGGGGGAGAGATCAACCAAAGGACTTATATGCAAGCATATAGGCCTAACCAATGGACACAGACAACAGGGGGGTGAGGGCATGAGTGGGGGAGAAGGGGGGTAATGTGGGGATAAGGGCACATTTGTAATAACTTAATAAAAAAATAAGCAAGTAAAAAAAATACAGAGTTTCCCATATATTCCTGTCCCACACATGTATGTTTTCCCCTACTATCAACATCCCCCACCAGATTGGTATATTTGTTACAATGAAGCTACATTGATGTATAAGTATCACCCCAAGACCATAGTTTACCCTGGGGTAAACCATACATTCTATGGGTTTGGACAAATGTGTAATGACGTGTATCCACCATTTTATTATCATTCTGAATAGTTTTACTCTTAAAAATCCCTGTGCTTTGCCTATTCACCCCTCTCTCTCCCCTAACCAACCACTTATCTTTTTACTAGGGGCCCGATATACGGAATTTGCTGTGACTTGACTCAGCCTTCACATCCCTGGCTTCGTCCAGAAGGTCGTCTGGAAGGACATCTGGAAGTTCTTTCAGGTGTCCAGTCTAATTAGCATATTATGCTTTTATTATTATAGATGGTCTCCATTGTTTTGGCTTTTCACAATATCATATAGTTGCTGTCATATAGTATGTGGTCTTTTCAGATTGGCTTCTTTCACTTAGTAATATGCACTTAGTTTTTTTCCCAGGTTTTTTTTTTCATGGTTTGATAGTTCATTTCTTTTTAATACTGAATAATATTTTATTGTCTGGATATACCAGAATTTCTCCATTTCCCTATTAAAGGACATCTTGGTTGCTTCCAAGTTTTGGCAATTATGAATAAAGTTGCTATAAACATCCAAATACAGATTATTGTGTGGACATAATAGTTCTCAACTCATTTGGATAAATATTGAGTAGTGTGATTACTGGATTATGGTATGTGTAAAAATATAAGAAACTGACAGACTTTCTTTCAAACTGGTTGCAGCATTTTGCATTCCCATGAGCTATGAATGAAAGTTCTTTTGCTTCTCATCCTAGCCAGCATTTGGTATTGTCAGTGTCCAAGTGGTGTGTAGTGATATCTCATTGTGGTTTTAATTTGCATTTTCCTGATGCCATATGATGTTGAATATATTATTTTCTTTTGGCGAGATATCTGTTCAGGACTTTGGCCCATTTTTAAATTTAGGTTGTTTATTTTTTTATTATTGAGTTATAAATGTGCTTTATATATTTTGGATCAGAGTTCTTTATCAGATGTGCCTTTTATCTTTCAGAGAACATTTAAAATATTTATTTATTAAATTGATTGCGGTGACATTGTTTAATATGAACACAGTTTCAGGTGTGGGTTTCTATGTTACAAGGTCTGTATATTGCACTGTGTGCCCTCCACCCAAAGTCAGATCTTCTCCTGTCACCTTATATTAGGATCCTCTTCTCCCCACACCCCCTTCCTCTGGCAATCACCACACAGTTTTATATCCCACATATGAGTGAAATCATACAGTTCTTAGCTTTCTTTGACTGACTTATTTCACATAGCATAATGTTCTCAAGGTCCATCCATGTTGTTGCAAATGGCACTATTTCATCCTTTCTTATGGCTGAGTAATAGTCCATTGTGTATATGTACCAAATCCAGTCCTTTTTCACAGGCCATTTTGCTTGCTTCCATGTTTTTTGCTTGCTTCCATGTCTTGGCCACCATGAATAATGCTGCAATGAGCAGAGGGGTGCATATATCTTTGTGAATACATGATTTCAAGTTTTTCAGGTATATACCAAGGATTGCTGAGTCATAAGGTAGCTAGATTCTGGTAGTTCTATCCTTAATTTTTAGAGGAATCACCAGACTGCTTTCCACTGTGGTTATATCAGTCTACATTCCCACCAGCAGTGAAAGGGTACCTTTTTTTCCCCTGCAACTTTTCCAACACTTGTTATTGCTTTTCTTGTTGATAATGGCCATTCTAACAGGTAAAAGGTGGTATCCATTATAGTTTTGAATTGCATTTCCCTAATTGCCAGTAAGGTTAAACATCTTTTCATATATCTTTTGGCTGTTTGTATGTCTTCTTGGAAGAGATGTATTTTCAGGTCCTCTGACCACTTTTAGACTGGGTTGTTTGCTTGTTTGGTGTTAAGTTTTATGAGTTCTTTGTATATTTTGGAAAGTAAACCTTTGTTGGAGCTACTGTTTGTAAATATCATTTCTCATCTGGTTTTCTGCCTCTTTGTTTTGTTGTCAGTTTCTTTTGCTGTGCAGAAGTTTGAAATAGTCCCATTCATTTATTTTTGCCTTTACTTTCCTTGCCTTTGGGGTCAAGTTCATAAAATGTTCTCTATGACCAAGGTCCATAAGTTTGGTGCCTATATTTTCTTCTATGGAACTTATTATTTCAGGCCTTATATTTAGGTTTTTAATCCATTTTGAACTAATTTTTGTACATGGAACAAACTATAAGCCAGTTTCATTCATTTACATGTGGCTTTCCAGTTTTTCCAGCACCATTTATTGAAGAGACTAACTTTACTCCATTGTGTGTTTCTGGCTCATTCTGGCCAAAAATTATCTGTCCACATACATGTGGTTTTAGAGCTGGGCTCTCTATTATGTTCTATTGATCTGTGTGTCTGTTTCTCTGCCAATACCATGCTGTTTTGATTATTGTAGCTCTATAGTATAATTTGAAGTCAGGTAGTGTGATACCTCCAGGTTTGTTCTTTTTTCTCAGAACTGCTTTGGCTATTCAGGGTCTTTTGTGGTTCCATACAAATCTGATGATTTCTTGTTCTATTTCTTTAAAAATGACATTGGGACTTTGATGGGGATTTCATTAAATCTGTATATTGCTTTGGGTAATATGTCCATTTTAACTATGTTGATTCTTCCAACCCATGAACACTGGATATTTTTCCATTTTGTTGCATCTTTTTCAATCTCTTTTAGTAATGCTTTGTAATTTTCAGAATATAGGTCTTTCACGTTCTTTGGTAAGTTTATTCCTAGATATTTTATTCTTTTGGTTGCAATTGAAAATGGTATATTTATTTTGTTAACATGGCATATTACATTGTTTGATTTGTGTATGTTGAACCATCCTTGTGTCCCTGGAATGATACCCAATTGATCATGATGTATTACTTTTTGTATGTACTGTTGTATTTGATTAGCTAATATTTTGGTTAGGATTTTTGCATCTGTATTCATCAGAAATATTGGTCTGTAGTATTATGTTTTGGTGTTACCTTTGCCAGTTTTTGGTATCAGGGTTATATTGGTCTTGTAGAATGTGATGGGAAGTATTGCCTGTTCAATTTTTGGCAAGATTTTGAGAAGGATAGGTTTTAAATCTTCTTTGAATGTTTGGTAGAATTCACTTGTGAAGCCATCTGGTCCTGGACTTTTGTTTTTTGGCAGGTTTTTGATGGTTGTTTCAATTTTTTCACTGATGATCGGTCTATTTTAGATTACCAAATTCTTTATGATTTAGTATAGGAAGGTTCTATATTTCTAGGAACTTATCAATTTCTTCCAGGTTATTGAATTTGGTTGCATAAAGCCTTTCATAATATTCTAATATGATCCTTGAATATCTGTGATGTCTGTGGTGACTTCTCCTCTCTTATTTCTGATTTTGTTTATATGGGTCTTTCCCCTTTTTTTCTTATTGAGTCCAGCCAGGGGTTTGTCAATTTTATTAATCTATTCAAAGAACCAGCTCTTTGTTTTATTCACTTTTTGTGTAGTCTTTTTGTTCTCTATTTCACTTAATTCATCTCTAATTTTTATTATTTTTTTTCTCCTGCTGAGTTTGGGTTGCTTTTGTTCTTTTTTTTTAGTACTTTAAGATGTGATGTTAGATCGTTTACTTGGAATTTCTCTTGTTTCTTCAGATAGGCCTATACTGATAAAAAAAAACTTCCCTCTTATTACTGCTTTTGCTGTATCCCAGAGTTTTTGATATATTGTATTGTCATTCTTATTTGTCTCTATATATCTTTTGATCTCATCTTTTATTTCTTATTTGACCCAGTCATTTCTTAGTAGTATTTTGTTTAATCTCCACATATTTGTGTGTTTCTTTACTTTCTTTTGGCAGTTGATTTCTAATTTTAAGGCATCATGGTCAGAGAATATGTGTGGTATAATTTCAATCATCTTGAATTTGTTGATGCTAGTTCTGTGACCCAACATATGGTCTGTCCTTAAGAATGTTCCATGTGTGCTGGAGAAGACTGTATAGTCTGATGTTCTGGGATGAAATGTTCTGTAAATGTCAATTATATCCATTTGGTCTAGTGTTTCATTTAAGGCCAATAATTTTTTTAATTGATTTTTTGTTTGGTTAATCTGTCTAGAGCTGTCAATGGAATATTAAGGTCTCCAACTATGATTGTGTTTTGATCTGTTTCTCCCTTTAGTTCTGTGAGTAGTTGTTTTATATATTTCAATGCTCCCTGGTTGGGTGCATATATATTAAGAAGTGTTATGTTTTCTTGATGTAGTGTTCCCTTTATCACTATTAAGTGTCCATCTTTGTCTCTTGTTATCTTTGTTATTTTGAAAAATACTTTGTTAGATATAAGTATGGCTACATCTGCTGTTTTGTGGATGTTATTTCCTTAGAGAATCATTTTTCATCCTTTTACATTAAATCTAACTTTGTCTTTGCAGATGTGTCTCTCATAGGCAGCATATGGTTGAGTTTTGATTTTTATCCACTCTGCTACTCTGTGCCTCTTTATTGGTGAATTCAGACCATTTACAATTAGGGTAATTATTGATATATAAGGATTTTCTGTAGCCATTTTATCTTTTGTTTTCTGGTAGGCCTGTGCCTCCATTGGTTCTTTTCCTTCATGCTTCTATCTGTTGTGTTCCATACATCTTTCTTTTGTTTTCTCTTTCTTTAAGCTATATGTCCTGGTTTAAGGATTTTTGTGTTTAGTTACCATTAGGTTTATAAAAATGAAGTTGCATATATACCGTAGTTTTTTTTTTCCTTTTGAATGCATCTAATCTTTATCTTCCTTTGCCAGTTCAGACCTTTCCTCCTCCCCCTTGAATGGTTTTGTTGTCAAAAACTATCCCTGTTTATGCTGTACATTTTTTGGTGATCTTACAGTGTTGTGATCTTATGATCTATCTTTGTTTCAGGTAGAATAACTCCCTTAAGTATTTCCTGCAATGGAGATTTTCTGGTGATAAAATCCCCACACTTCTGTATGTCTGGGAACATCTTTATTTCTACTTCAATTTAAAGGATAATTTTGCTGGATATATTATTCATGGCTGGTAATTTCTCTTTTTCAGACATTTTAATATTTGGTTCCACTCTCTTCTGGTTTGTAGAGTTTCTGCTGAGAATTCAGATGAAATTCTGTTGGGGTTTCCTTTGTAGGTCATTTCCTTCTTTTCCCTGGCTGATTTAAGAATTTTTCTTTGTCATTAATTTTTGATAGTTTGAATAACAAGTGCCTTGGAGAGGGCCTCTTTGGATTGAGGTAACTAGGTGTTCTGTTTGATTCTTGGATTCAAGTATCTAGTTCTTTCCATAGATTTGGGAAGTTCTCATCCACTATTTGTTCTAATAGACTCTCCATTCCATGCTCCCTCTCTTTCTCCTCTGCAATGCCTAATATTACTTTTTCTGAAGGAGTCAGATAGGTCTTGTAGAGATCTTTCATTTTTCTTTACTCTCAGGTCTCTCTCTTCTTCCCTCTGCATCATTTATAGATTCCTATTTTTGATATCTTTTCACTATCTGGTTGGTTCTGTTTTCTATGGTCAGTAGTTCACTCTTACTCTCCTTAATTACATGCTTCACTTTCAGTATTTCTGATTGGTTATTTTTTAAAGTTTCAATTTCCTTAGTAAAATACTTCTTTTGTTCATTGATTTGTTTTCTGAGTGCATTTAATGGCCTGTTAGCATTTTCTCACATCTTGTTGAGTATTTTCAGAACTGTAATCTTGAAATCTTTATTTCCATATGTTCCTGCCTGCTTCTGGGGATTTTTCATTTTCTTTCTAGTCATCATTGTTACTGTGGTTCTTCATGGTATTTTCTGTCCTCCTTTGCTTTCACATTTATCTCTGAAGAGGTCTTTCTACTACTTTTCAGTAGATGGTGCTGAATTGCTAGATTTTTACTTCTGTGGTCTTCCAGTCTTGAACCTCTGTGGCATCTGTAAGACAGTACAGCATTGCTGCTTAGAGTGGGGTTTGTTTTGCCCTCACCATAATGGTGATCCCTTAACTCCATGGGGTACTACCCCAAGCACCCATCCTGGGGATTAGTCACAGAGGGAAACAGTGATTCTACTGCAACAGCTCTTGGTTTACAGATAATATGCTCCCTGACCTGACTCCAAGGGCAACAGGAAGCTAGTTATGGGAGTCCAAGCAGTATCATGGCTCTGTGGTTCTGTTTCTTTGTCTGAAACACCACCACCTGACTGGACAAAGGAAAACCCCATGGCCAAACCCCGTGCTCTGTCAGGCATCTGCTGACTCACAGTTCACTCTTTCTCTGCTTGCTGCTCACTCTGTTGGGCTGCTCCTCCCCTGCCCCAGCTCTCTGTTCCTTCAGCAGAGGGAAGTGCCTGCTACCACTGGCTTTCTCCCCTCTCCTTGCTGAGCCATGAGCTCCTAGCTACAGGGCTGCATCTGTGGGCTGTCTGCACTTTTCTTCCTTCTCGTCTCCCGGTTTATTCTGGTTGCCCACCTTTAGTTGCTTCAGTGCATGGGTCTCCAAGAATAATCTAAGTGACAGTTAGTGCTCCTCCTCCTCCTCATTTTTTTCTCTTCTAGCATATATACCTATACCTGCACAGTTCTCCTAGAGGATAATGCAGTTAAATTCCATACATTATTAATGATAATCAGTATGTAAACATGATAAATAAACTGAATATTGGTGAAATATTTGACTATTATTAATAGAAATATTTTAGTATTATTAATAGGGATATAAGCAAGTAAGTAACCTTAATAAAATGTGGCATCACCATCTTGTTTGTTAACATTGTTTTTCAATCAGAGAATGAGAGAGATAGAGCATAATACATTCATACTGCTGAAGAGAATGTCATAAAGTTTGTCATAAAGTTGTGGCCTTAAATGCTTTATCATTTGGGTGTAGTAAAGTGAAGAAATCAAATAGTGTTGCTTTGTAACTTCCTAAAAAAGTAAAAAGGTATTCCAGGAAAAAAAAGTGACAGGCATTTTTGTAAGTCAGCATTATTTCCTTAATTTATGTAAGCACTTTTCTAAGTTCCATGTGAAGAAAGGAAAGTTTTAGCCGGGATCTAGCTGCTCATGATGGTGGAAGGTCTATGAAAACATGGCACTTACCAGATAGCTGTAAACTATTCCATTGCAGAAAATGAAATTATTATGAATCAAGGAACAGTTTAGAAACAATGTAATCCAGAGAGTACATTGCAACTACTGTAAAAACATATCACTTTTTATTTATATGTTTGGAATTTATTGTGAAAATTATGAAAACCATAAGAAGAATTTTAATTTAAATAGTGGTTTGTAAACTGTGTTCCAGAGGGCTTTAAGAGGTAACTCAAAGTCAGCTTGCACAGAAATAAAAGAGTTCATTAGAGTGATCCTATACTTCTCATCCCTTTTCATTAACCAGAATACACTCTGATTACAGTAGTGTTACATACATGTTGTGTTGTGTCCTACACTTAAAAAAAGGTTTTGCAACTAAAAAAACAAAGACCATTAATTTAAAGAATTCTGATGTTCTCTGCTTGAATTTTTTTCACCTAATGACCTTTTAAATTAGTTGCTTATAATCATTACTAATCATCCTAAAATGAAATCTCAACATTAGTAAAGCGAATAAATTGGAGTTACCAATTCAACCATAGCCAATGTCTTTATTCTTCCACTGTTCAAAAGTAGATTCCATAAAATGTACATATACTTGTATAGTTGGAAAATAGTTGTTGTTTTTTTCAAAAGCAGTTTCTTAATATTTCAAGTAGGGGTGGTAAAATTTTGAATTAGCCAGTTTTAATGTCATTGAACTTTCATTATAACACATACTTACTACCCTATTTGTATGAGCTTCCTTGCTATAAGAATTTTCACTTAGATATCTTGTCAGTAAACATTAGACTTAGCACCCTGTTGAAATATATTGAGCTATTAAAATTTTTTTTAGAGTTTGTTATTATAAGAGAGTAATTTTTCCAACTTCAGTAAATGGCAAGTCATTATGATCTGTCTGGATTAGGTATATAAGGAGCATGTCTTGGATTTTAAAAAATGCATTTTTCTTTTCCTGTGACTGAACATTTTCTTTTACATAAAAAGAGCAATGATTAAGGCATTTGTTCATTTAAGGGTAATCAGTTTTTATTTCTTTAGAATGGGAAGTACACTTTGCTAATGATGAGAAGTCTTGAGCCTATGATCAGGATCAATATTTCCTTTGTATAAAGCTAAAAATAAAATTGAAGGTGTAAGTTATATGACCATAGGGTGTTCACAAAAGAAGAGTAAAGTCAACTGAGTGATATTTAGAAATATTTCATTCAAGATGGGGTAGATTCAAGAGTTATATACATTATACTAAAGAACATACTTATTTAGTTACTAGAATATTTATGACAACCATTTTCTCTTAGACAAACCTGGTTAGCATGGACTCATTTTTAATATATAGCTATTCTTTTTTAAATTTTCAATTCAGGTCACAGCTTTTCTGTTTCAAAATAGAGAGATCACCTCACACACATTACAAAAGAGACGAGTGGCTTATAGTTTTTCAGGAAACTTAGATGTGAGTGATCTCTTTGATTGGATTGTGTGCAATGTCTTGGATCTTTGGATAAATTACTAATGTGTATTAATATAGTTGGATTATCTTTATAATTTATAATAGTTTTGCTACTATTTACTACAAACAATTTATGGTAGCTATATAAAGGCATGTAACATTGTCTTCCAGGCATTAATGATTAGATTGGATTGGATATATGACACAATGATGCCAATTAGATTCTCTTTTTTAGGGGATATTAGAGTTGGTTATGAGAGTGCAAGTGATTTATAGACAACATTTAACACATAAAATCAGGGGCTGTGATATGATCATAATGTTCTATATGGATAAAGAATCAGAAAGAAGAGTAATGAAGATATATAAAGAAAAGCATCATTGATAGAAATGAAAACTCTTAATAGTTTATATTTCTCAGTTCTAGTCAATATCTGATGTCCATCTGCAATCTTGTTTAGGTTTCATAGCATTTCTCCTCTCCTCCATTTCTTCACTGTATTCTTTTCTTTTTCTGTTTAAGCAGGCTTGAGTTTTTTGTCACTTGAATGTAAGATGTCTCACTAAATAATAATAGAATCCATTAATGAGAACAATCAATATGAGGACACATGTAAGTAACATGGTAAATGCTCAATATATTTAATTAAACCTGTTATTGAAATGTTATGATCTTTATAACTTTGTTTCAGACAGTAACCTTTATCTGACTTTGTCTTCAAACTCTGGGAATCCTTTAGCCACTCAAGTACTTTCTACAACGATATTTAAGATGCACTTCAAATCTAAGATTACATGAAATTATTTGCTTTATTCATAGGGCCAAATATTGAGGCATTATCTTCGAATAAACAAAGTAATAAGTTATAGTTACATCTAATGAGTTAGTATTGAATTTGTGCAGGCAAATCAAAGACCTCCTCT